AATTCCTGTGTCATATGGTTATTCTCTTTAGCTTTCTGAGGAACTGTCAAATTGTTTTCTTCAGCCACTGCACCATTTTACATCCCACCAGCAATGTGTGAGGGTTCTAAATTCTCCATATCCTCCCCAACTCTTTTTGTTATCCATCTTTTTCATTAGAGCTGTCCCAGTGCGTGTGAAGTAGTTTCTCATCGTAGTTTTGATTTGCATTTATTTCTCTTTTGACTAATGATGTTGAACATCTTGTCCTGTGTTTGGTTATTTGTCTTACCCTCTTTGGGGAAAAAATGTCTGTTCAAATTCTTTGTCCATTTTTATTTTTTTTAAGATATTTATTTGAGAGAGCGAGCAGGGGGAAGAGCAGAGGGAAGAGCAGAGGGAGATGGACTTCTGTGCTGAGCACAGAGCCCAACATGGGGCTTGATCCCAGTACCCTGAGATCATGACCTGCGCCAAAATCAAGAGTCGGACACTTAACCGACTGAGCCACCCCGGCACCCCTGCCCATTTTTAAATGGGGTTGTCTTGTTGGGTTGTAACAGTTCTTTGTACATTCTGGATACTAGACCCTTATTTGACATATGAGTTGCAAATAGTTTTTGTCATTCTTTGGATTGTCTTTTCAATTTCTTGGTAGTATTTGAAGCACAAGAGTTTTTTTGATAAAGTCCAATTGAATGAGTGAAGGAGTTATCCATCTATCTACCTATCTATCTCTCTATCTACCTATTTTATTTTTGTTATTTGTGCATTTGATATCATACCTAAGAAACCGTTGTCCAATACAGGGTCGAGAATACACCCTTGTTCTTCTAAGAATTTGATAGTTTTGGCTCTTACATTTGTTCATTCCATTTTGAGTTAATTTTTGTATATGGTATGATTCTTTTGCATGTGGATATCTGCTTATTCCAGCACCACTTGTTGAATATGGCATTCTTTTTAACTGTTCTTTCCTTGCTTTATTTACCATGAATCCAAATACTTATATTAATAGTGCATGAAACTGTGCAAGGCATGTGATAAGACTGGAATATGTAGTTTACAATAAGAACCTATCTTGCCTCAGGACTTACATATCTAGTTGAGACTGGTGATGAATTATACACAAAATTGTTGAGTGGGATACAATTCAGTGCTAGAGGAATGGTGGAGAGAACAGAATTCATTAGGAATTGAGAAGACTGAGTAAATTTATGAGCAGAGAGGTTCATAGAGGAGATGAAGGTAGTGAGGTTAGGTAAGGTTTAGATACAGAAATGGCCAGAGTAGAGCTACTGAAGCAGTTAGATTCATTTGGCTCAGGGTATGGAATACCTTTTAGACAGATTTTGAAATTTTCCTGAATTAGCAAGTCTTCTCTTAGCCTAAATTATGTTATTAGAAGTTGGAAGCACCTGATACATACTTTGTGCAATTGTATCTAGAGAAGAGGGCAGTTTTTATTTTGGTTACATCATATTGGAATGGGTATCTTATGGGCACTATCTTCTGTTTGCTTATCTTTTTACTTCTGTCAGTGGTTGTCACTGAACTAGACTTAAATTCCCTCTTCACAGTCCCTACAAACTTCTAGATTTCTTTTCTTGAAACTTTAGAGAAACTCTTTTGTCATGGTCACTGATAATTTCCACATTTAAATCCAGTGGTCAGTTCTCAGTCTGTATCTTACTTGACATAGCAGAGCATTTAACAGTTAGTTACTTCTTGCGCCTTGACACGTTGTCTTTACTTGGCTTCCCCAGCACCATGCTTGATTTTCCTCCTATATCACAGTGTTTTCAGTCGTCTGTTAGTCTCCTTTCCCAGTTCTACTTCATGTTGGTCTCATAAACTTGGAGTTTGCAGGACTTCATCTTTTATCACTTTTTTTTTGTCTGTACTGACTCTTTTGATGATTTCATTTAGCCTCATGGCTTTATTATTTTTTTTAAAGTCTTATTTATTTTAGAGAGAGAGTGCAAGAGAGTGCAGGGAGGGGGACAAAGGGAGAGGGAGAGAGACTCTCAAGCAGACTCCCCATTGAGCGCAAAGCCCAACATGGGGCTTGATCCCAGGACCCATAAGATCAAGGCTGAAACCAAGAGTTGGACACTCAACTGACTGAGCCACCCAGGCACCCCTAACCATATGGCTTTAAGTATCATCTACATGCCAGTGGCTCACAAATTTGTAGATCCAGCCCCATGTTTGCTCTTGAACTCCAGGTTTATAAATCTAACTCACTCCACATGTGCACTGGGGTAATTACTCACCTATCAAATTTAACAAACCCAAAACTGAACTCTTTCTCTCTTCCTTCCTCTCATACCTGCTCAGCTTTTAATTTTTATCATTCTAATTGAAGACAACTCCATCTTTCCGGTTGACTTAAGCTAAAACGTTTGGAGTCATCTGTGAGTCCTTTTCTTGCTTCATACTCAGTCAGGAAATCCTATTGGCTTTACCCTCCGAATATATCCAGAATCCAACCACTTCTCACCACCTCCACATCTAAAACCCTGGGCTGAGCCTCTGCCCTCTTATCTGGATTGCTGCCACAGCCTCTTAACTTCTCTTCCTGCTTCTGTTCTTATAATTCTGTCTTGAGCTCTAGAATGACCATACTAAAATGTGTTAGTTTATGTACCTGCTCTGCTCAAAACCTTGCAGTGGATACCCTTTCACGCAAAATAAAAGCTAAAGTCTTTATAGTGCCAAAAAGGCCCTGCAAGATCAGGACCCCCTTTATCTCTTAAACTTTTTCTCCTCCTGTTTTTCTTTGCCAGACATCTACTTTAGCCACCCTGGCTTTTTTGCTATTCCTTAAATAATCTTGGTATATTTCTGTAAGGGCTTTTGTCCTCTCAGCCTGGAATGCTTTCCCCTGAAGGGGAGGAGAAATAATTTTTCTTTAACCTTGTGAGTTCTTGGCTGAGACCCCTGTAATAAAAGGCAGATTAACAAGAGAAAAACAGTTTATTAACATGTATACCTTATGTATACAAGGGAGGTTCTCAAAGAAAAGTGAGTAACTCAAAGAGCTGGTTTAGAGTTCAGGCTTAAGTACCATCTTCAGCTAAAGATGAAAGAAAGGTGTGGGGAATCCAGTTTATTGGGAAAAGCACAGTAAACAAAAGTAAGGTTTGTTGTGCAGATATAAGTCTGAACCTTTTTCACTGATAAGTTTCATATGATTTAGAGCCATTCTTCTCTTCCTGGTGTAGAGAGAAAGACACTCTCACTAATAGAGATTTCCCTCATAAATGTAAATTTCCCTTACAAAAGGGTGACTTCTACTCTGTTTTTAGAACTTTTCCTGTATCTGCTGTTTCTCACAGTAACATGCTCAAAATAATCCTTATGCCAAAGAAGCATATTTTGGGGTGGCAAATTCTGCTACCCTTCATCCCCACAGTAGCCCCATGGCTGGTTCCCTCATTTCTTTCAAGTCTTTGCTGAGATATCACTTTCTCAGTGAGGCCTGTCACATCCATTCTATTTAAGATTGTAATTGTTCAGCTCACATACACTCTCCATCTCTTTTACTCTGCTTTTTCTCCCCCAGTAGAATATATCCTCTTTTGTCATACTATATATAATTGACTTATTGTGTTGTTTATCTTGCTCACCAGAAGGTATCTTGCTCAATAAATATTTGTTGAATGAATGAACATCCTAGGGCTGTTGTACTTTTGGGGTTGTTATTGTTCAGAATCTTGAGCCCCATCCCAGACCTCTTGAATTAGATGCAGGGGGTGGAGGTCCAACTCCTTTGTTTTAACTAGACCTTCAGGTGATTCTGATGTAAATTTAAGTTTAAGAACCACTGCTATATCATAGTGAGTAGTTCAGAAGCCAGGCCTGTTGCTCACAGGTGGGAATATATAGATGTATGAGGTAATTGATAAATGTTTGCTTTTTCTCCCATCTTCTCCTCCTCCCTTTTTCCTGAGGAGATAGCACTGGGAAAGATGATATAAACTGTAGCAACTTTCAGTTGATTTAGCATGTGTATCAAGGTCCCCAAGACCACCTTTAGGTTCCAGTTATCACTAGGAGGACACACAGGAATTAGCCTGTAGTCACACTCATGGCTAAGATTTGTTACAGCAAAAAGGACACAAAGCAAAATCGGCCAAGGGAAAGAGGCTCGTGGGGCAAAGTCCAGAGGAAACCAGGAGAAAATTTCCAAGAGTCCTGTCTCAGTGGAGTGTCACACAAAGCAGGACACATTAATTCCTCCAGCATCAGATTGTAACAAGTGTGAAGTGTTGTCTACCAGGGAAGCTCATTAGAGACGTAGTGCTCAGGGTGTTCACTGGGGACTGGTCATACACGCACCCTCTGCGTAGCACATACCAAAATTCTAGACTCTGAGAAGGAAAGCAGGAATTCGGCTTAAACCTCATTGTACAGTTTAGGCATAATGAGCCACTCCTATCAGTTAGGGTGGTGGGAACCCTGATAAGAATGGCTCACTGTGCCTTATAGATGGGGATATTAACTCTTTTTCTGCTATGTTCACTCTTTTCATCATGGTCTCCAAAGAAGTTTGTTGGTTTTTTTTCCCTATTTTCTTTATATAGATTATAAAGCATTTAGACTAAATCTCTCTTTTAGGTAATTGAGTAACAATGAAAATGTTTTGAGAATAACTTGAACAGTTTACTTTAAGTGGATTGAATATATGAGTTTATTCAGTTAGCCATATTTTCTGAAAAATGCCTTGGCAGTATCATTCACAGTCTGTGCTATTTTAGTAATTACAAAAGTGGCTTATTTCATAGTAAAGTTTTCTTATTTATTCCAAAAAATAAATTAAGATAACTTTCTTAGCATTCACTTGAAAAATGTTATCTATGAATGTGACCATCTGTTTCAAAGCAGATATTTGTTTTTCTTCACTTTTCTTCCAACTTTCATGTTCTAAAGGGCCTATTTGAAATTTGCCATCTTTGGGTTTGCTTTCGTGAGTAACCAATCTTTCTTTCTTTCTTTCTCTCTTTCTTTTTTTATAGGCCAAGATGCTGAATTATCAGGGACACTTTCACTTGTTTTGACACAGTGCTGTAAGAGAATAAAGGACACTGTTCAAAAATTGGCCTCAGACCACAAAGACATCCACAGCAGTGTTTCTCGGGTTGGAAAAGCCATTGATAAGGTATGGTGTTGAAGGAAGTGTCTGGGATTTTTTAACATCATCCTTCATCTCCTATCACTGCTTTGATAACATTTGCTTTCTTCAATTCTTTTATGCTATTCCTTTCATCCTGGCTTTTATTAACTTTTTTAGATTTGGTTTTACTATGTTATTCTTAAAGTTTGCTGTTGATATTTAAAAAAACAAAAATAAAAACATTTGCTTATATGACTACAGTTCCTGGTATCATGATGAGTGAACTTCCAAAGAAATTTTGACTCCTGTGAGGGAGTGTGTTTACAGAAGTAACTTCCTACTCCTGAATAGTTCCCTGGTAGTGACTCTGTCTCTCTTATGGGGCGATTAGGATAATACCCTTGCGTCTCTCTCCCCTGCATCATCCCAACTGTTGTCTTCCTGTGTGCATGCTAGTCGCTTTTCTCCAGTGTTGCTTACTGTGTGAGTGAGTGGGTTGGTTGCAGTCCACTTCTATTGGGTGATCATTCCGGTGACATCTCCTGAATCTTTGACTTAGTGGTTTACTTATAAGCGGTTATTTTTAGCACTGGGCCAGTTTTGCCTTTGGAGTTCATAGTGGGGCCTAAGAGATAGGGCCTCTGTGTGATACCTCTGACTACATCAGCCATTGGGGAATTTGTAACTGTTTATGGATTTTTTTTGACACAAACTTGTGGGAAAGTAGGAAAAACTTTTGGGAGAGCCCTTTGTAGAACAAAACCAGTCCTATGAGTTGCTTAGTCTAAATGTAGGAGAGCTAGTAGCTATGATGTAGATAGAAACTCATGGAATCCAGAGGGTGACTTTGTCTAACTCATGGGTTAGCCTACCTGTTAGAAATTATCCTATAGAGCAGTAGTCTTGAAGGGCTAGACTTCAGGCAGTCTAAGGCGGAACTGTCTGCTTCTAAGGAGATATTGCTAACTGGTAGGTACAGTGTGACTGGACAGTGTGTGGCAGGGGCTCAAAGGATTGTTTGGGTAGCTGTGGTTTACAGAAGTGTTAGTGACCTTTCAGAGAGCTTTCACCACTCCCATAGTGCTGAGGGTTTCAACTTGGCAAAAGAGGCCCGAGAAGTAGTCTTGGCAGCAGCAGCACGATATTTGGATTAGTGATGGCATTTGCTAGCAAAGGCTGGGAAGGCAGTATTCTCTGAAATAACTTTGAGGTTGTGATGCCTGTTTGGTGACTCCAAGAGAGTGAACAAGCTTTGGAAATGGCTTTGGCATCAGATTTTTTGGGGACTATGGCATTGGAAATCTTCAGTTGGTATGTACTAGCTTAAGGGCTCACTGGAATGGTGGTGGGGCACTTTAGAGAGGATCTTAAATCACTGTGAGTGAGGGACCTTCAGGTTCTCTAGGTGGTGTTTAGGAAGCTTTGGGTTTTGGTGGCTGACAATGACCAAGGCAATCTATTGATTCTAATGGTTCAAGCCCTTGGAGGTAACAGGAGGCATCTGCTTGACCACCAGGCTGCTTGTAGTTACGACAGAGGGTGGGGACAGCAAGACCAGAAGATGCCATGATAGTGGGAAGAGCTGAAGTTTTCATAGCAGCCAATCAAGAGAAAGTATCTGAGAAGAGATCCCAGAATCAAGATAGGTGAGGATGGCCTCAGCAGCCATATCTCAAGTGTGTGGACTGCTGGCCACTAGGATCTAGAGCATTTGGGCCAGTAATTGACCAGCTTTGTATTCTACCACTGATAGGGTGACTGTGTGTCCCCATTTCTTAGATTGTGCCTGTTGTCCTGTCAAATTATTAGAACCTTCTTTTTACTCTTGTCCCCCTAGCTAATGGTGACTTGCAGAGCACGTCTTCCTGATCTAGCAAGTCTTTACAGATACTCATAATTGTTGTCAAATATTTTGGCTAATCTTTGAGACAAAGCATTTAAGTGTATTTGGTGCTAGAAACAAAAGAATCCCTTTTTTGAGAATGGATACCAAGGGAATGCATAGTGACTAATGTACATTGTGGCTTTTTTGGTGCGGATGTGTTTGAAGTGAATGTTCCTGATTATATATTTTAATTTACTCATTTCTCTTTGGAGGACATTTTTGTCATGTAAGTTATAAGGGCTTTTTCAAGTAAAAAAATTTTTGTGTGTGGTTTTATGTTGCTGTGAAAGTAGTTTAGGTTCTAGGTGACCTGGATTCCAGATTTTTCTGATCCATCCTATGAAACTCCATTGTTAAGTTGATACTGTTAAGTGTTTGTTGAATTATGGTCCTGGGGCACAGAAGAAAGCCTGGATCTTTTAACCCAGTTCTCTACCATCTTTCAGTGCATTTTCTCTCTCCCTCTTTTTTGAGGTGGGAGCATCTGTTTGGCCTGAGCTGTAACAGGAAGTTACCTACACTAGAACTACCTAGACACTGTGCTTCTCACATACTTGAGGAATTTTGTGTAGGCTGTTGTTGTATAGGACTCCACTGACTTGTGGTTTGGACCTGGTAAATTTGTACAAGCTTCCAGGGCCACCCATTGTAACAAGGCTGGGTGGACTCCTATGGGCTGGTGGTGAGCAAACAGGATGAAGCTGAAGCCATTGTGGCACAGGCCTTTATGTACCACAAACAGACTTGAGTAATAAACCGGAATGCTGTCCAGCAGCCTGTGAGCACCTTGTTATGGACACATGTTTCCACCCTGCCAAGAGGAGGGCAAAGAAGCTGGTGACTCCTTTATGAGCAGGCTGGTTTTGAGTGAGGAACATTAGTAAATTTTTGACATGCTTAATGATTTTTTTCCTTTAATGTTTTGATGCTTGTTTTAAAGTTCTTTAGTCATCGCTTAATGTAAGCGTAAAAATTCGTGGTGGTGTTAGCCAAGGCACTTTCTGGCTTTTAATTTTGTGAACATAAAAAAATTATTGAAGATTTCTGCCTTAATGTTAAGTTGACTATTTTCAGATCATAGTATGATCACTATTTAAAATAAATAATATCAGCTATTGGGTTCTGTGGCAAATTATTTTTAGTAAAAACAATGTGTTGGCCTATTTTTAATTTCCTCTCCCATTTTAAGAACATCTAGAATTCTCTCCTGCTTAGGGCTTTTACTTCAGTGTTTAAGTCTTTTGACTTTTTTTGAGTTTACTTCCTAAGTAAGAAAAATCAATAAAACCATTACTGCTTTAGATATGTGTGTGTGTTTATGTTAAAATAAATAGTGCTAAGATTTTAAATTGTCTGAATTTAGACACTGTTGTGGGATAGTTGAAAGCAAATTACATAGTCCATGTTCTTTAGAAGAGTATGGTCTAGTTCAGTCATGTAAGAGTGCTGCTTGTACACATGAAAGAGCTGGGAAAATTCTGAGGCAACATAAGATAAATTTGCATGGGATGCACTCTGTTTACTGTAAAGTAAAGGGAAGATCATTGTGCACTTATTTAATCTAAGTTTTGTGGAGTTGGTATCTTAAATTTGACTTGGGGGGTGCCTGGGTGGCTCAGTTGGTTAAGTGTCCGGCTCCCTTTAGGCTCAGGTTGTGATCGTCGGGGTCATGCTCATTGTAGAATCTGCTTCTCTCTCTCTCTCTCCCCCTTTTCCCCTCCCCCGGCTCACATGCATGCTCTAAATAAATAAATAAATGAATAAATAAATAAAATCTTTAAAAAAATTTGACTTGGAAGAACAGTTAAGATTTCAAACATCAGAGGTATAGTTTTCTGTAGGACTGAGGAAGAGGCTAAACAACAGAAATGCTGGACTCCTGTGAAAGACCCTCTGGGACTTGGAGTGGCTGCATTATCAGGAATAGGGTTGATGGAAGGCCTAAGGATTTGATTCAAGGAGATTAGGGAAAAAGGGAGTGAATGATATAAGCAGTTGAGTATTTGCTTGCGCTCATTAAATAGGATGAAATTAGACTAAGGAGAAGTCCGGAGTAGGAAGATAATAGCTGTCATGTATTGAATGTTGACCATGTTCCAGCTATTGAGCTGGGCGCTGTACATATATTTATATTCAGTGGTATAGGAACATTGTTCCCATTTTAAGACTCAGATATTAAGTAACATATCCCAGGTGTGCAGCTTGGAAGTGGTGAATCACGATTTGGAAAAAGATCTCACTCATGAGTGCTCCACTAGGAAATTGGGCCATTGAAGGGGCTGGTAGTGTTTTAAGGGAGGAAATAAGGGTTAAAAATAGTTTTTAAAAAGCATCAGCCTAAGCTGATCTGCCAGTAGACGGAGCATCTACATGGGTGAGTTAAAATGCTGACTGTGTTAAAAAATGGAGTAATGCCATAAAAAGCAAAATATAGAATATTTAAGATAGTTCTGGGTGAGCCATCTGGAACTTCCTTTTATGTAGGTATGACTGGGGTATGAGAGGAGAAAAAGATACCAATGGGAGAAAAGGTGTTGGATTTGGCCTTAAATAGTAGCTGAGATACAGAGTGGGTGAGATCAGGTATGTACTAGCTCTAAAGTTCTGTTATTATGTAATGGATAAATCTTTATATAGTAGAGAGATGTTATTGTTAATGAAGGAAAAAGGAAATGAAAATGACTAGAAATAGAAAATACACTCTGATTAAGAAAAAGAGCTAAGTTGAGTTCTGAAATATAGACAGATAATTTGATAATATATTTTGAGTATTGAATTTTTAGAATTACTGAAAAGGAATGGTTAACAAAGTTATAAAAAAGACAACAATGATAAAAAGCCAGGAACGTATTCCCTAAAAATAAAATAAGACATGTCAAACTAACTCTTCTCCCTGAACTACTAGTGAGTAATCCAAGAAAATGCAGTAGACTATGTGTCTAAACTTTTGCAAGGCATTTAATAAAAATCTCCTATCTTTGTAGTCAAGATGGAAGGCGTTTCTTTTTAAATTATGTGATTTGGACTAGGAGCAGCTACATTCTCAATACCTTGTTGGGTTTGGCCACAGTTGCATGGTCTGAGGATGGATCTGACCTACCCAGGCTTGGCCACAGTTGCTTGCTCCAGGGTGGGAACCTCAGAGTCCTCTCCTAGGATC